GACCCTTTAATATAGTTCCTCATGTTGTGGTGATCCCCCCGAAGCATAAATTATTTTTGTTGCTACTTCATACCTGTAATTTTGCTACTGTTATGAATTGGGCAACCCCTGTGAAAGGGTCATTCGACCCCCCAAAGGGGTCTGTACCCACAGGCTGAGAAATGCTGATCTAGAGCTTCTCCAAAGTCCCCCGTTTGCTCTGGGTTCGTGAGAATTTTATTTTAGGTGCATAATGAATGTCTAGCAAATGATCATTCCAAAATACATTGGTTGTACACATGTTCAAAGAACATTCATTCCCTGGGATCTCTGAAATTTTTATTTTATTTTATTTACTTATTTTTAAAAATCATTTCATTGGGGGCTCGTACAGCTCTTATCACAATCCATACATCCATCCATTGTGTCAAGCACATTTATACATCTGTTGCCATCATTCTTTTCAAAACATTTTCTTTCTACTTGAGCGCTTGGTATCAGCTCCTCATTTTTCCCCTCCCTCCCCTCCCCTCTCATCCTCATGTACCCTTGATAAACTATGAATTATTATTTTCATATCCTACACTATCCACTGTCTCCCTCCTCCCATGTTTCTGTTTTTCGTCACCCTGGGTGGTGGTGGGGTTATACATCAATCATTGTGATTGGTTCCCCTTTCTCCCTCCACCTTCCCCTACCTTTATGGTTTTGCTACTCCCATTATTATTCCAAGCAAGTCTATTTTCTTATCGCTTTCCACACTTTAAAAAAGAATGAGGCAACATCACCAAATAGGAGGTAATATAAACATGCTAAAGCCAACAGAGGAAAGAGCAAAGGAACAAAGAGGAGGGGCAGAGCCCTGGTGGACTAGTGGGTTATGTGATGGGCTGCTAGCCTCAAGGTCAGCAGTTTGAAGCCACCATCCAATCAGAGGGAGAAAGATGATCCTTATGGTCTCTGAAACCCACAGGGGCAGTTAGACCCTGCCCTATGGGGTTGTTATGAGCCGGAATGGATTCAGTGGTAGTGAGATTTTTTTGTTTTGAATTTAAAATAGACAATGAAATCAATTTAATTCAACCAACATTGACTGAGTGCCTGATTAAGGCACTGTTCAAAGTGTTCAAGGACCCAGAGATAACAACACAGACTGGCCCCGGTTTCAAGGTATTGGCAGTCTTTCTTTGGTGGGTGGCTAATAAGGAAGAGGCAGCAGTAGGAAATCTATTGGCTAATGGCCAAGCTTTCCAATTAAGAGGCCTTTGAAAGATAAACTGAGAATGTTTCCTGCAGCATATATTATCTAGTCCCTCCTCATGATCTTAGGGAGCCTTGGTGGTCTAGTGGTTATTCATTGGGCTGCGATCTGCATGGTTGGCGGTTCGAGACAACCAGCAGCTTTGTGGGAGAAAGACTGGACTTTCTATTCCTGTAAGCAGTTAGTCTTGAAAACCCACAGGGATTCACTATGAGTCAGCATGGACTAGATGGCAGTGAGTTTCTTTTGGTTCTTGTGATCTTAAATTTTCCTTCAAACATGCACACATACACAACAAACCAAAACAAACCAACAATGAATCTACCATACATTTTGATTGTTCTTTATCAGGCTGCATAAGTAAATAAATTGTGTCAAGTTAGAGAGTGACCCTCAAGGACAGGAATTTCTCTCAAATTCTATAACTAAAGCAGTCTCTATAGCTAACAGGAAAATCTTTTCCTAATAGAAGGGGCTTCAAAAATCTGTGGGGAAATTCCGTTATCTTTCAATTCCATTTTTTCCCCCAGGAACCTTTTGAAGCCCATCTTGTATAACATTTTAAAGTAAAACACTATACCAATTATACTTTTCCACCTTAGTTAAAACTTCTTCTAAATAACCTGTTAAGGCCAAAATTTTCATAATACAAAACAGTGTTTCCCAAAGGGGTGATACCATCCCCTGGGAGCACCAGAAGGATTCCAGCAGGCTGCAAAAGCAGATACCTACACTTTATCTTGGATAAGGCCTATAGTACAAAAGTTTTTAATAGCCAAAGGCACTGAGTCTTTTTTTTTTTTT